AGCAGTCAGGCCTTGGAAGTCACAAGACATGCTCTTCACTTCAAAACTTGCTTTTAAGCTTGCTAGTAGGCCTCTTACTTTTCACCCAGTGCCCTATAACTATTAAGGCTGGATTTTGTAAAGTCTGTTTCATTCCCAAAAAAACTTTAGGAGCTGTTAGTGAAAGAAAGACAGTGACTATCAAGAGATGAGTGGCAGGTATACAAAAACTATCTTCATTTAGATTTTTTAATTATCGTATCTTCTTGTTCTCACTCCAGACCTGTTATCACAGTACATTAACATGCTGTGATTCCTCTCTCAAGATACCAGAGCTCTAACAAAAGCAGCCTTCTCCAAAGCACCAATCCCCAGCTGCCTGTGGTAACTAGCTATTACTTTAATTAAAAGGCAGTAGAATCTCAAGCACTCAGTTTTTGCTTGCTTTGCACCACCCTAGCTTGTCTGAAGTCCTTTGCAAGAGAAGTGGGTGCTGCCTCCCAGCAGCTGGTAAATCAGCCAGGCTCCTGCGAATAAATAGCTTTGGCAGTCCCGGGTCCAAGTTATCTCAGTCCTTACCTTGGCACGTGACCAAAGCCAAGTCTAATGTGCGTCAGCAACGTATTATAAAAACCCAGAGAAGGCCAGATCCCTCACACGTTGTGGCTCCATCTGGCCTCGCACCCAGCCCTTCCTAGTACTCAAATCCCCGTGGTGAGGTGCCGGCTGCTTTTGCTCCACATGGACCTCATAGCTGGGCTGGCCTTGGACCCCAAGGCGTGGGGAAAAACCCGCCCACCCATTCATCCATCCACCCACCGCCGAACCCCAGTGCAGGAAGCAGGATGGACAGACGGAGGGTGTGATGAAAGGAGTGAGTGCAGGGGGCATAGCCACCAGCTCCGCTCACCATGACGGCAGCTCCACGGTCCCGCCTTGCCTGGTTCACCGGCGGGTCTAAGGTTCACTGCTCTCCGGTCGCCTCTCACCTTTGACACCGCTCCCTGGGAGCTGCGGGCTGGTTTCGTTTTTGTCTGCTCCCAGCGCAGAGAGGCTCAGGCAGCCGGACGGGGCTGTTGCCCCTGACGCCGCAGACCAGAGTGCCTGGAGGAAAGCAAGGCTTTGGGAAGGTAAAGGCATTCTCTGCCAAGGGATTCCCCGCAGGGCGGGCCCCAGCCCCAACCCGCTATCTCCGAGGTGCCTTTCCCAGACGAGCTCCAGGGACTCCTATCCTTCCACGGGGAAGCAGCCCTGCATCCCAGCTACAAAAGGGACATCTACCAGGGAGGGCAGCACTGTCCTCTGCAGCTCCCTACCTAAAGGAAGAGATTTTAGGAAGACTTAGGAATCCCTCTGCTCAACCCCCATCCTCTCAGGCAGCCAAGGAGTCACTGTGAAGGTCTTAGAATGCTTGGTCTCACCCAGAGCCCAGGGCAGTCTCTCCTTCTTGCTGCCTTAATTCCCCAACCTGCTCCAGCTGAACAGTTAGTGACCCTTATTCTGATCCCCTTAGCTTTGGGGAAGGCTGATTGCTTGAGAAATGAGTACTGTGCAAATTTAACACCATTTATGCATTAAGTCTTTGCAGCTGGGAGTTTTGTGTCCCATGGTAACCTTTGGCTTAAAGGAGCTTTCCAAGGCGCCGTGCTTCTACATCAGCACTGCAAGAGCTTTAGCAGGTAGAAGGAGGGTCCCAAAAGCAGAGAGTGCTTTGAGCTGAATCCTAGAGAAGTTAATATGGGAGGTAGGTGCATGACCACTATATCTGAGTGGGGGGTGGATGGGTGGAGAATAATCTAAATCTGAAAGAACATCGTGTCCAAAAATTGCAGGGCTAGATACCGCAGACTTACACAGGTAGTGTTGGGATCCTCTTTGTTTTTTTCCCTCCTGAGGAGTTGATTATGTGTGGTTTTTCTTTAGGGCTGTGGAAACTTGGGAAATGTCTTAAATGGTTTTAGGATCATCTTAGAGCTTGTGGTTTAGAAAAGCTTAGACATCAGTTAGACATCATTAAATGTCATTAATTTTCCTGGAAGTTAAATAGAGTCTTAAATAACACTCCTCAGTAGCTCCATCCCCAAAGGTATGCATGTCTTTTCTGTTTTACTGGTGTCCCTTAGAAATAAAGGGCTTATCTCCTCACAATAAATATACCAGGATCCCCCCCTTTCCAGGTTAAAAATACTGTAGAGATACTAATTTACTGAAAGCAAAAGCCAAGCCCTTGCTGTTGCATTCCAGTGCAAATATCTATTCTGCCACCTCATGTTTCTGTTTTTTGTTACTAGTGTTTATGACGATAAAATATGATTTTGAAATGGTGCTCCTTAGATAAAGTCCACTTTCCTGCTAATTACAAACAACTGAGTCACACTCATAAACAGATTTGTCAGATTCCTTCTTGGAAACAGTGAGGGCAGGCGGTTCAAGTACAATATTGCTGATCTGGTGCTGCTGTCATGCCTGGCAAACAGGTTACCTTCAAATTGATATACATTAAACCAGCAGGCTCCATAGGGGAAGCTGGTTAACGCTGGTCAGACCTGCCTCCACACCATGTACCCACCCACCGCCCATGGAGAAGAGAGAGGAGACACTGAGATGGAGGAATGAGGGTGTCTGGCTAAGAACACAGTTTCCTGGGTGCAGCGATGCCTAATCCTCAATTAGGAAGGGAGAAAGTATCTGTATTGTGGCTGTTTTGGTACTCACTGTCTAGGTAAGTGTAAGATCAGGCAAGCCCGACCCAAATATCTGCTACTACGCACACCTGTCACAAAATATTTAGCTGTATCTGGAGACTAAATCTGCCAACTAGATTTTTACTGTCCATTGAAGAGAAGTGCTTGTCTAGGGTTCTCTCTGGCTCTTTATATTGAGTCTGAGCAAGCTTGTCTTTCTCTGCCCCTCAGTGTTGCCTCTAGGCTTAAGAAGAAAACTTGCTCCTCAGCTGTTCCACAGGCTGCTCCCTAAATTGCTGAATTATTATTTAGCAGGATCAAACTAAAAATTCCCCAAATCCAACATCTAAGCTGAGTTACAACTCAGCCTTTCAAAGCCGATGTAGGAAAATTTGCTAAAGCCATTTTGCACAGAAGCATTGGTGACTTCCTCAGAGTTTTGAGTTTGCATTGAGATAAATCAAACTTACCTGAGTTACACTAACAGAAGCTTTCTGGCATGTAAGGGGATAGAAGCCCATTTCATTGAGCAGAAAAAACACCCATGTGTACAGATACAGACCTGGGTTCAGCTAGTGCCGAGGAACGCCTGCTTTGATAACGACTCTGGAAAGGGAGAAGAATTAAAGGTCTGGAGCTTGCCAGATTGCAGGGGGAAGATGGGAAAAGTGAAGGAGACGTGAGAAGAGCAGCATGCAGGAACAAGAGGCTGTTGTCAGACAAAGGAGCTGCAGAGACCTTCCAGGGCTGGGAACTGCATTTCTAGCACCACTGTCAGGTGTCTTTATAAAGGTACTTCTTCTTGCTCACCTGCAAGTTCTGCATGCCAAACTCCTGTGAAATGCAGGTAGAAACTGGAGTAATTGCACCAAATCTTCATTATCAGTCTCGCAGGTCTCTGCTCTCTGACTGACCAGGACTTTCTTCAAAAAGCACCCACCACAGCAGCATTCACCCTGGCATGGGAGGCTCCTCATCTGGCATGCAATGTCAGGATACACAGGCAGGGACCAGCAGCAGGACACGAATGTTTCAGCATCCTTCACAAGGTTCTTCCGCTGCCTTTGAATGTTAGAAGATCAGATCTATGTAGGAGGCACATCCCATCTCTGCACACAGCAGTTACAGGCTTGCTCGTGGCATATTTCCCCTTTGCAGCTGCATGTGAGGTGGGATGAGTGTATGCAAGGTCATGCCCTCTTCCTGCTCAGTTCAACACCCCATGACCCTTCATCTTCAAGATCTGCATGACCCTCCCTGTCTCATGCATAGCTCTCCACTTGGGCTGAATGTTTTTAGAGGAGGAGCTCTGCGAGGAGGAGCCAAGGCAAAGCTTTGGCTAACTGAGAGGCAGTGTTATTTGCCACCCTGTGCTGTCAGCGAGGCAGTGTCACTTTCTTGAGCTCAAGGCTGGGACAAGGGGAAACGTGCCACCAGGAGGGCTCGTGCCGACCACCATCTCCCCAGGGTACAGTCAATGTTCTGCAGTGGCTCTCTTCAAGTCAGGTTTGAGACGACCACCGTTATTTTGGGTTGTGCTCCCCCACTGTCTTGGGTCACTGCACAGCGTAGCTCCACCCCGAGTGGAGTAACACTCTGTGGTGCAATGGTCATGAGGGCGTGAAACGTCATGGACTTGGGCTGCCCAGGGTTTCTTAATCCACAGTGCAGGCGTATGTGCCATCGCTTTGTATGCCACTGTCCTGTGGTTGAGTGATACCTCAGGGTCACCTCAGAGTGAGGTCCTCTCCTGCTTTTTCACCCTGGCAAGCTACATGCTGACTCAAAGTGCTGCTGCCACAAAGTCCATCAGCTCTTGAGGTGCCCAGCCATGCCCTGGGCAGTGTCCTTAGCAAGCTGGTAGCAGCATCACCTCCATGCCTGAGCTTGGCTTTCCTGGTATGACTTCTAACCAAGACCCACAAGAAACGTGGAACATCAGCCTAAGCTTTTCACCAGGACTGCAGTGATGGAGGTGTGCTTAAGAGCAAGGCACACCCATAAGGGATGTCCCTCTGCCATTAACTTTCTCCAGCATGTCCTTTTTAAAGGAGATGCACCTGATCCAATCTCCTTGTCTACAAGGCCTCTTGCATAACATTTCTTCCTAAAGGTCTCCACCCTCTGGTCATAACTGACAGTGGAAGATGGTTTGATGTATTAAATTTGTCACAGGATATTAATGATTTTATTCTAGTCTATTTTGAGGTTAAACCTTACCTGCCCCGCTGCCACCAGTCAGGAATTGATGCAGAAGGCTCAGCTGATGGACCTGGGATCACTGCAGAGACTTGCTGAATGGAGTTCATTTACTTGCAGGGCAAGACACAGAAAGCGATGCCAGGCACCTCCCTGGAGGAAATTCGTCCCACCTACACCTACAAGGTGGTTCTACTGGGGAGCACGTCAGTGGGAAAGTCGAGTCTGGCCTACCGATACGTGAAAAACGACTTCAAAGAGTCACTGCCAACTGTGGGATGTGAGTGAATGGCTTCAATAGGTTGATGGCTCTGGACAACAGACCAGGCCTGATGCCCTTCCTTGCAGCAGGGATGCAGGAGAACTGGTTGGTGTATCCTCAGTAGCACAGACCTGCTTTTGAACGCAGTGCAGACTTGCCTCAGAGCCAGACCTCCCTGATTGCTGTCACCTTCAGATCTCTGCAGCCCATTTACCTCCTCACCAGGCTGTAAGCAAAGCCACATCCAGATTGCACAAGTGTGGCTTAGCGCTGCTTTTTGGAGGCAGATGAGCAGCAAAATGAGTGGAACCTGGAGTCCAAACTGTATGGGTTATATTCTCTGCATGCTTGGTCCTGTGCTGCCCTCACAGCTGTTCGGACACCCCAGGAGAGTCTCCTCTCTGTATGTGAGCTGCCCCAGCCTCAGTGTCCTGCTGGAGCAGGGAGGTTTGGGCCAGGGTGCAGGCAGGACCCCACAGCACTGCCTCGTTCCTCCAGCCTGCCTGCAGAAACGAGAGCGCACACCTCCCATGCCCTGGCCAGCCTGCAAACCCTACATTCTGCCCCATGGGCAAAGGGGAGAGCATCTGCCCCTGCGTGTCCTGTCTGCAAAAGCTATACTCAAAACCCACAGCCAAAGGCAGGCCATGTCCATGCTCATGCTTTGATGAAAACCATCTGGAGAGCCTTGAGAGCTCCGCTCCCTCTATAACCTCCCTTGGGCCAACATGCTTGCTGGGATCAAGCTGCCTCCACTGTACATTCGCATCAGCACAGCCTCCTACAGCACCTAGACATAGTAGATGTTCATTTTACGTGCTATACCTGGGTTTTGCCCTAAGGCGACGCAGCGGGCACAGAGGTTGTGGTCCCACCCAGAGCTTGAAGACCTGGCTGGTAGAGATGTGGTCCAAAAGCAGCCATCTGTTCCCTGGGAGCAAGGGCGGAGGTTCCCCTCCAGTGGGAACCCTTCTCAGTGGATGTTCCTATTCACAGTTCTTGCAGGTCTGACACACCAGCAAGGTGGGGGTGGCTGTCTATCTGGGGGCTATTCTGCAAAGCTCAGAGCTATCTGACATCAAAACTGGCTGGTGGAGATGTAGTCCAAAAGCAGCCATCTGTTCTCTGGGAGCAAGGGTGGAGGTTCCCCTCCAGTGAGAGCCCTTCTCAGTGGATGTTCCTATTCAACAGTTCTTGCAGGTCTGACACACCAGCAAGGTGGGGGTGGCTGTCTATCTGGGGGCTATTCTGCAAAGCTCGGAGCTATCTGACATCAAAACTGGTGTGCATCCATGAAATCTGCTGCCAGGAAGGGCTCCCAGCCTGCCAGAGGCTTCCCTGCCTTGTGGCACACTATCCCATCACCAGCACCAGTGCTTATGAGAAACCCATCCCAATTTTGTGCATTAGAGCACTGTTACTGGCCCTTGAGGTGGGTTAGACCTCACGGCAAAGACCTGAGCTCTCTTTTCTTGCTGCAAGTGAATGTGCACCCTACATCTTGCTTGCAGGTTCCTTCTTCACACAGATACTCAACCTGGAGGTAGCCACTGTCAAGTTTGAGATCTGGGACACGGCAGGCCAGGAGAAGTACCACAGCGTCTGCCACCTCTACTACCGGGGCGCCAGCGCCGCTCTCCTCGTTTACGACATCGCTAACAAGGTAAGGCAGGGGATGCTGATCCTGTCTGTGCCAGAACTGTGCCATGCTGCAGCAGCACTGGCAGGGCAGAGGTGTCCACATGATGGTGTTTGTAGGACAGAAACTGGCACACAAGCACTGCCTGAAAAGATAAATGTACCAGCTGGGACGTGCCAGCGGCTGTCCCTGCCCATACAGGACCATGCCACCATCCCAGGAGCGAGTTCTGCTGCCATGCAGAAGGGCTGCATCCTATTCAAGGCTGATTTGTCCCTAAAGGTATCTGAGGGCTCGTGACCTGTTTCTCTGAGAGAGAGGGAGTGCAATCACATCTTCCTCACCACATCTCTTCCACCCCTTTTGGTTTGGTGCCACCCATCCAGCTTTGCTTTGCTATGCCTGAGACAAAGGAATTAAATTGAAACCAAATCACTGAGTGGTTTTGTCTCCATCTCTCCAGGAAACACTCAACAGAGCAAAGCTGTGGCTGAGGGAACTGGAGAAGGAATTCCTTCCCGATGAAATCGTCATTGCTTTGGTGGGCAACAAGACAGACCTTGCTGCTGAAAGAGAAGTTGCCACTGAGGTGAGCTCCCAGGCCCCCTCATTCCCTCACCAGCAAGCAAAGCAGAGAATTTAAAAGACTTTCAGACACCTCCAAATTCCCATACAGTTATTGACCTGCCATGAAGTGCCACCATAACTGAACAAGCAGCCCCAGAGGGGCCTGGGGGAATAACTCTGCTTGTCTCCACCTAGGAAGGGCAAGAGTTTGCAAGGACCGAAGGCCTCCTGTTCATGGAGACATCTGCAAAATCCAGCCACCAAGTAGATGATATCTTTATGGCCATAGGTGAGTTGTGTGATGGTTTTAGGTGAGAGCAGAGGCAGGCAAACCACAGGCCCCAAACCTCTGCCTCAGGGCTGTAAATACCTTCCCCCTTGCAAAGCTGACTCCCTTTCATTGCTCATGCTTGCCACTGAGATCTTACCAGCTGGTCCAGCCTGTGCCGCAGTCGGTCACAGCCGCAGGAGTCCATGGTTTCTGTGAAATGTGCCACACTTCTTAGGGCAGATCCACCCTAGGATGCTTCCACATCACAGATAGATTTCAGGCCTTCTCCCAAAACCACAATTTTCTTTTGCTTTAGTATCCAATCTAGATGTAACAGTATCCCCAGCGTAGCTGTTTAGTAGAGTTACTGTGGGACAGTATTGGTGGCTCCTCTGGGGTAGGACAGGACAGCCATCACATCCCACCCCACTGGCAGGAAAACTGAGCCCTTTCTCACCTTGTGACTCTTCCTAGCCCAAGAGCTCCTCAAGCGGGAACAAGAGAAGACATCTGTCCTGTCCCAACGTGGGGGGTCAACAGCTGACCTGAGAGAGAGCAGGGCAAGGACGAGGTGCTGCCAGCTCTGAGGATGGTCAGCTCTGGACCTCAGGCTGCACTGCTGACTGGATAAGGTCTCCAAGAGGAGCAATGACAAAGCAGGGGAACACAGAAGCACAGGGGCAGCTCAGCCTGATGACCTTTCCCCTCAGAGCAAGGTCAGAGCCTGTCCTGGGGGCACAGGGCCTGTTCAACCCGCTAACACAAGCTTCCTCCTAGAGGTACAGCCTGGGGGCTTCTTCCACCAACTTTTTGCTTCCAGAGAGGAGTGTGACCCTCTGGCACTGCTACCACCACCCTTCCACCTCAGATGCACATCAGCTCCTCTGTGTCCTTTCCCATCCAAAAAGAGAGGATTTAACTTTCTGGAAGCAGATGCATCCCTGTGGCTTTACACCCAGTCTGCAAATAAAGCTAATATTGCCTTGAAGGTGTTATTTGGTTTGGGTAGGTATTTTTGTTTGTTAGTTTTCCCCCTGACTGGATGTCAGCCTGCAGGAAGCCTGGAAGCAGCAGGGACCAGAGCCAGTGGTCCCTTTGCCTGACCCATTTGAACCCTGATTGCCTGGGACTGTGAGAAATCGCTGATTTATCACAGATGTAAGAGCCAGGTCTGGGGCAGAGCAGAGCCAAAGCAAATGCTGGGTCTCATGGTGCCCTGTGCCTTGCAGGGCCTCCCCTTTCCACATTACGATTTACACTGTGGGAACATGCCTTGGCTGGAAGATGAGAAGGTGGGAGCTGCTGCTGCTACTGCCTTCACTGGTTGCTGTGCCAGCACCACCCTAGCGGGAGCCTGTCCAAGGTGCAAGGAGGAAAGAGCTGTTGCTCCTACCAAGAAGGATGCTTTCTCACCTCCTGCATCCCCAGAGCGTCTGGGCTGTTTTCAAAAGCATGCTGGTGCACAGCAAACCCGGGGGGTTGATGGGCTCAGGGGAGACACTGGCCTCTCCAGGACAGCTATGGCTACACCAGCATGGTCACGGCCAAAGAGCAGCACCGCTCATCCTGTCCACAGGGCAATGCAGCCACTGGGTTTTTGGGGCATCCCTTAACAGCGATGCCAGTGGCAAGGCCTGGCCAGGCTGAGCTTGGCCACGAAGCAGCAGACATCCTAGAAGATGCTCCCCGCGTTGGGAAGGGGAACCACAGTCCCCTTTGCCCGGGTTTGCCAGCCCAGTCCCCACCCTAGAGACCTTGTATGTTCCCCTACCCCCGGCACCCAACACCAGTCAGGGACACTCACCTGCAATGCTTCCCCAGAGCTGAGCTGTCCCAGGGAAGGGCAGGAGCTCCTTCCCAGCAAGAAAAGGAAGCTGCTGCCTCCTCCTTAAATCCACTTCCTTAGGGCAGCTGGGAGGTGGGGGTGCTAATTGCCATGCATCCCCTCCATCTATCCCTTCCCCTCTTGAAAAGAATCCTTCCCTCCCCAAACAGCCTCCCAGTGCTGGGCCAGAAGTTGCAGGGAGGGATGTTGAGGGCTGGGGGTCACCCTCCCCTGTGGCCTCTCTCACTCCCAAACTGGAGAGTGGAGAAAATGGTCTGGTTTGGGTATACAGCTCATGATGGGACATTTGAGGACATGCAGCACAGTGGATGGGGTCCCACCCGCTCCCCGGATGTTTCTGACCTGGGCCATGGAAATGAGGTGGCTGTTTCTGACCCAGGTAACATGGAAATGAAGGTGATAGGGGCACCCATGGGTGCTGGCATGCTCTGAGGACCCCAGGGGATACACATGGGAAAGTGGGACCTCCGTGGCTTATTTTTAGGGTGGGATTTTTGGGGTGTGTGTGGGATAAAAGTGCCGCGCTGTGCAGAGAGGGAAGTGCTGCTGGGACAGGCTGCAAAACTACAGCAAGACCAGCATTTTTTGGGGTCCCATCCCCTGCTGTGTGACCTCCTGCAACAATGTGTGACCCCCACACACAGCGTTTCAGAGCAAAGAGGCTGAGAGGAGAAGGGCTTTTATTGTCAGCTTCAGCTCAGGGGCTCTGCTCCTCCTGGGGGGGCTGGGGGTGCGGGTGTGGGGGGGCGCAGGCTCTCCACCTGCCACCCCCCACAGGATGGGTGCCTTCACTCAGGGCTTGCTGCCGCCCGAACCGTCCCACTGGCCTGATCCCACGGCCCGTGTACCAGGAGGGGTCGATGTCCGGATCTGCAAGGCAAAAACCGAGGAACTGTCAGAGGGTGATGGGGGGGGAACATGGGAGGGCAGACAGGGGATTGCACCCATGGGTGGGGGGGACAGTCACAGAATGCCAGGAGTTGGAAGGGACCTCAAAAGCTCATCCAGTCCAACCCCTGCCAGAGCAGGATCACCCAGACCAGGTCACACAGGAACACGGCCAGGCGGGTTTTGAATGTCTGCAGAGAAGGAGACTCCACAACCTCTCTGGGCAGCCTGAACCCTAGTGGAGTGGGAAAGGGGCTGGGGGTGTATAAAAGCTGTTACAAAGTCTATTTCAAAGTAAACCTTTGCTTCTGCATCGTGACCCCTCGCCCTCTGCTCCCTCCCTGTCCCCCCATATGTAGCTGAGTCTGGGGTTGCAGAAGGAGCTGTGGGGTGTTGGCTGGAGGGCTCCCTTACTCCTGCTCTCCTTACTCCTGATTTCCATGGAGTGCTCGTGGATGCGGCCGTGGGCGATGGGCAGGGTCAG